GTATTTTCCCGTGGAACACCCACCCAACCTCATTTCCCCGAAGTGGAAACTGAGGTTCAGAGAGGTTAAGTAAAGCCCAGCCATGCAGAACTGCATTTGAACCCAAGTCTGCACCAGGCCTGGGCCTCTCCTGGGCAAGTCTGAGGAGGAAAAGGCCACCGGACACTCCCTAGACTATAAGATAAGCCTCTGGAAGTCACACATAGGGACAACCATGATGATAAAAAATGATTTAGTCATTAGCCAAGGCAGTATACTGAATTGGAGTGCCACCATTTCCTGCCTGTGTGACTTTAGTCAACTAAGTTGCTAATCTGTCTGAGCCTCAGTCTTACCATTAGTAAATGAGCTTTATTACAGGCCTTCTGTTTGGGGCTCTTGCTCTGAGGATCCATTGCAGTAACAGAGATAAAAGGCTTAGCTCCACACCTGGCATGTCATGGGTGCTCAGGAAAACAACTAATATAATTTACTCATTTGGCCTTTATTTATTGAAAACCTAGGGGCTAGGGATACAACAACAAAGAAATATATTGTTTTGCATTAATGACTTCCTAGTCCCTATGTTTCTAGGATCTGGCACATTGTCCGGCTTGATAAATGTTGAAATGAATGAATGAATGAGTACAAGAAGGCAGGCAGGCAGTCAGGTAGGAAGGAAGAAAAGGAAGGAAAGAAGGAAGATAGTGCAGTAGGTCAGCCCCTGGTTGCAGTTTTGGGGACCGCTAAGAGGGAGAAAAGGGAGTTTTTAAAATAATAGTTACAGTTTCTTGGGCACTTAGAATGCATCAGGGGGCGCCTGGGTGGCTCAGTTGGTTAAGCGTCTGCCTTCAGCTTAGGTCATGATCCCAGGGTCTTGGGATGGAGTCCCACATCGGGCTCCCTGCTCAGCGGGGAGCCTGCTTCTCCCTCTCCCTCTGCCACTCTCTCTGCTTGTGCTCTCTCTCTCTCAAATAAATAAATAAATAAATAAATAAATAAATAAATAAATAAAATCTTTTAGAGTGCATCAGGTACTCAACAATGCTTTTTGTGTTCTAGGTTCATCCTCACAGTAAACCTACGGGTTAAAAGTGTTGTCTGATTTTACGGAGAAGAAAACAATCCATGAGGTAGAGTGCCTTCCCTAAGGTCACACTGTCACTAATTGCAGAGGCAGGTTTTAGGCTTGGATTTGTACCCCAGCTCCCTTGAAGTAGTGGGCTCTTCCTAGCCTCTTCCCGCCTCTAGATGGGAGCTCTTGGCACACAGAAACGCAGCGGAATGGCCTCTACCTGCACCAGTAATAATGAGGAATGTGCTGCCCTCAGCTTTTGGAGCAAGTTCATTCCACTCACTCATGTGCTGAACCTCACATTTGATTACTTTTCACAACAATCCTGTGAAGAGGGTATTAATTGCCCATTTCACGGACAGGGAACTGAGGTTCAGGGAGGCTGGCTTCCCGAGGTCCCACAGGGCATGCTCTGGAGTTAGGATAGAGGCTGCTCCCGAGGCTCCACCCACTGAGCGGCCCTTTGGTGGCTCCCTACTTTGAAGCTCGTCCCTCTGCCAGTCATCCCCCCCCCCCCCCCTTCCTCCCCGCTCAGCCCCCTCCCTGCCCTGTTCTCCTGGCCAGGGTAACTACAGGCAGAAGTCTGAGTAAGGTGAGCTAAGAGGAACCTCTTGGGTTGGGCTCCTGCCCAGAGTGGTGGCCAGGGCACTGTTCACCTAGGATGGGATTTTGGTCAGTTCACAACTTTTCCAATTCTGGTTTTGGTAGAAATTTAGGAAAAAGGGTCTTCCTGAATTCTCTGCCAAGGGCTCACCTTCCCTTGGTTTAGTTCTTAACCTTAGGGATCTCAGCAGGAAAAAGGGAACACAAAGCATCAGCCAGAAGAGGGTTTAATGAAGGAACTATTCACAGAGGTGTGGCAGGAATGGCAAAGTACCCTGGGGCTTCTGACAGTGGGATGGAATCATTGGGGGGGCAGCTGACGGGCAAGGGGAGGAAACCTTGTTAATGAACCTGGAGAGAGTTGGACCCATGGGTGCAGGCGTCCCCACAAGAGCCGTGGCTTTCAGTGGAGGAACATAGTAACTGCCAAAATCACAGGGGGAGGCGGGTAGTAGAAATATCTCTGTCTAACTCCCCTCCTTCAAACTGACCTCCAGTCAGTGTCTCCTACTGGCCAAATTCCACCCGAAACTATAAGGCCAGGTGAGACTGTCAGCAGGGGTCAGCCCCAGCAGAGAAGCATGGCGTGTGGAGGGCATTCTCTGTTCTTCCTGGACGTGGCTTTGTGGAGGGGCCTGAGAGACAACGTGGCTACGCATGCCTTGTGCCGGACACCTCACCCTTCTCCTCCCAGGCCCAGGTTCCTTTGTCTGCGAGGGTGTCCCAGTGCTGGAGTTCATCTCTCCTATTCCTGGCTTCCCCGGTTCTCACTGCCTACCACATCACTCACTTCCCCGATTGAGCCTTATTCTCGGCGTGGGTTTATCTCCCCAGACATCAGTTCTTGCCTCCTCTACACTGTGAGCTCTTTGCAGGCAGGAGCCGGGGCCAAATAGTGCCGATCGCCCTGACGCGGGGACCCTAGCACAGGCCGAGGGCCACTGTTTGCCAAGGGAACTGAGTCCTGTGTCCCCACCTTCCTCGCTCTGTCTCGGTAAACACAATCTGAGCACATGTGAATACCTGTTTCCCTGAGTACACCGGGGCTCTGTGGTGGCGAGCAGCGCAGGCCTGGCGCGTAGCGGGCATCAAATGTTGTCTGAATTGGCCTAGGTAGGACCATTCTTCTTTCTCTCATTCATTCAACAATACTTATTTACTTATTTATTTATTTGAGATCCTATTATGTGCCAGGCCCTGTGCTGGGCGCTGGGGACACAGCAGTGAACAGGACATGCCAAGTCCCTGCTGTCACGGGGCTTCCATTTTAGTGAGGACAGCAGAATAGGAGGGAATGGAAAACCAACAATATGATCGCAGACTGTGATAAGTGCTGTACCGAAAATAAACAGTACGTGGATAGACATTTATGCCGGGGGCAGGGGACATCAGGGAAGGGTTTTCTGAGGAGATGACATGTAAGTGGAGACCCAGCAAGAGTAGAAACTGGGATGTGAAGCGCTGGAAAGGGTGTTCGAGGCAGAGGGAACAGCAAAAACTAAGGTACAGAGGCAGAAGTGCTTCTGGGACCCTGGGAGATTCAGAGTTGCAGCCTAGAGAAGGCCTTTGGGGAGGTCAAAGGGGGTGAGGGATTCGGTCTTGGGGACAGCCCAGGGCCAGCTCCTGGGCTGGGGGGTGGGAGGGGAAGGGGTAGCCCTTCTTAACGCCACCCTTGCCGCCTGTCACCTAGCACCCACAGCCAACAGTGCCGCCGGCAGGCCTTGCCCTTTCTCCCTCAGCAACCCTCTGACTGGCAGAAGCTGTCAAATGACCAGCAGCTGAGGCTTTGCCAACCTCCTCCCCTGGAATATTTTAGAAGTAAGTCAGAAAATGACCAGCCGCCTCCTTAAAACCCAGCTTTTTCTCGTGCATGCCTTACAAGGGTGTATTTGGCTACCCTGGGTGTTAATCTCCCACCCCCTTGCATTAGACAGAGAGATATAAATATACAGCCACAGGCGGCACACTCAAATACACAGATTAATGACCGGGTCTGCAGGCCCCAGGCACAGAGGACACTCCATGCATCGGCTTGTGAGCACCCACTCCCATACTCACAGGCATCAGCCCCAGTCCCTCACAGGCACACAATTACACGCAGGCCCATACACAGTCCACCACCACCCATCATAATAATAACCACTCTCTACGCCCCCAGATTATACAAGCACACAACCACATGCCCACACACAGACATGTACCCCCCAGTCGTCCCAGAGTCACACACGGGCACGCAATCCCACATTCTCCCCCTACACACACACCCATGTAGTGTTCACACAGCCTGCAGTGGGCACACTGATCGCAACACACAACCCTCACACGCCCAACACAGCAGCACCGTTACCCCACCCCCACCCCACCCCGCGCCCGTACTCAAGGCCTCTCTGATTAAACACACATCCAGCCCCTCGCTCTTTACAGTGCAGAGCATTCTTCTGTGATTGAGTCAAAGACCTCCCCAGACAGGGGTTAAGTGGAAAAAAGGCATCAGAAGGAAGAATGCCCGAGGCCCAGGTCTGGGATGGGGCCGGCAGCTTCTGGCTTAGGGAGAAAGACTTCAGTGTTGAAATTTGACCCTGACTCTAATGGGCCAAGGCCTTGGGGGAGGGAGCATGCCTTAGAGGGGACAAAAGCGGGGCTGGGTCGGGGTGACAGGTGGAGCAAGCGGAGAGACTCCAGGAAACCTCGCAGCGTGGGGGTGGACCTCGGTGTTAAATCTGGACTGGACTTTATAGGCTTAAACCCCTCCACGCAATCCTCCCACCGCCCTTCCCTAACCCCGGCAACAGGCTCCCGGCTGTCCCCAAACGCACGGGGTGTGGCCGTGACCCCTCCTCCCCCAGCCCTTCAGGACAGCTGCGGGACACGGCGCTCCGGCCTCTCCTCCCCCCACCCCGCCCCGTCGCGGGTGGGGATCTCAGGGCGCCGAGCTGCGCGCGCTGGGGTGCTGGGTCCCTCTCAGTTCCCCACCCCCAAACCCCTGCCCCCGCCGGCCGGGGTGCTCTCCCGGGGCCGCAGAGCCACCCTCCTCCTCGGCCCCCAGCAACCGGGACCCTTGGAAAGAAAGGGTGAAGAGAAAGAAGGTTCGGGAAGAGCTCGGGGCGGGCCGGTCTGGGCGACGCGGATCGGCCACCCCCCACCCCCGCCCCCCGGCCGCGCGGCCCGCTCCCTCCTCCCGCGGGCGGGAGCTGGGGCCAAGTGGGCGCGCCCGGCCCGGGGCGGGCGGGATCCGGTGTCGGCGGCAGCTGCCAGTGCGGCCGGCGCGGGCGCGGGCGCGCAGCGAGCGGCCGGTGGGGCCGGCTATTAATAACGCGGCCGCCCAGCCCGGGGTCGCGCAGCCATGGCCAGCCCGGAGCCCCGGCACGGCGGGGACGGCGCCGCCCAGGCCGCGAGGTAGGACCATGCAGGGCCCGCGTCGCCGTCCGGTGGGGAGGGGGCGCTGGAGGAGCTCCCCTCCCCTGCCCCCGCGAGCACCTTTCTCCTGGCTGGGGGTGGTGGGCCAGCCGGGGTGTGGCAGTGGCACCCGGCGGAGCCACCGGCCGAGGGGGATGGGGAAGGCCCGGGGTCCCGGCACCTCTGTTTGTCCGTGGCTTTTTATAGCCCCCCCACCCCCTTCCCGGGGCTGGGTGAGAATGAGTCCTTTCGAACTGGTGGGCATCAACCATCAAATGCCACTGGGCGGGAGTGGCCAAGGACGCTGGCTCCTCGCTTTCCTTCATGTCTCACCCCAAATGCAACTGGAGAGGGAGGCCTCCGGCTGCCGAATTCGCTGTGTGGAAGAGACTTGGTGCAAGGCTGGGCGGCTGCCAGTCTGGAGTTAGGAGTCTGTTCTGGCAGCTCACTCTCTCCTGTTTGAGGTCTGGGATGGAGGCTGGGGGTGGGGAGGGTCGCCCGTCCCAGGCCAGGAGGAGGACCTTGGCAGGCGGCCGAGGCCCTCCCCGGACCATCCACACTGTCAGCTCACCACTGCTTAGGGGGAAAGGGCCTGTGGCTCAGGGATTTGGGGCCAGTAGGGAGGATTTCTGCCCCAGGTCAGACTGTACCCCAAAGAGGTGGAGGTGCACGTACACCCACGCCATCCCCCTTCAGTGTCACGCACAGCACAAAGCTGAGCATCGTTTTGCACGCATGATCACCTGTACTGCTATATACACATACAGGTACACACAGTCAGATACACACCAACTCATGCCCTCACTGTGTCACAGACACTCCTAGCCGTGGCGTTGATGCAGAGTGGGAAGTGCTGGAGTCCTTCAGCACCAGGAACCAAGTGGCAGAGGCAGGCTGCTTGGAGCCCAAGGAAGCCTGAGGTCAGGGCCCCCAGCTGAGCCGGCTCCCTGGCCCCTAGACCTCCCATACTCTACTTTCCCCAGGTCTTAGAGACAGCTGTGTGACGGCAGCATCTAGCAGAGGCCTGGCGGGGGGGGGGGGGGGGGGGGGGGGGGC